CCCCCCCGCCCCCCCGCCCCCACCGCAGCCGCCCCCCTCCCTCTGGGCCAGCCCCTGCCGCAGCCCGGGAAGCAAGTTGGGACGCCGCCACCCCAGATCCAGGACCCGCACCCCGAAATCTGGGGCCTGCACCCCGAGATTGGCTCCAAAGATCTGGAAGCCCAAGCCTGGGAGTCTGATTTGGGGCTGGGACCCCAAGACCTGGAGCCTGAACATCAATATCTGGGGCTGAAATCTCAACATCAGTCCCTGGGACCCCAAGATTTGGAGCCTGAACCCCAAGAATTGGAATATGGACCCCAAGATTTGGAGCCTGAACCTCAAGATTTGGCATCTAAAACCCCAAATCTGGAGCTGAACTCTGAGTTCTGTGCCTGGGACCTTGAAATCTGGGACTGGATTCTCATTTCTATACCGTGCAACCCACTATTTGGGACCCCAACCCTGAGACTTTAGGCCTCAGATTCCAAGATCTGAACCCTGGCATTCCAAAGGGCCTAAACCGGAGTTTGGGCCTGAAGTCCTTGCTGCAAACCTGAATACTGAAATTTGGGGCAGATCTTGACTCAGAGCCCCAGTATCTGAACCCAGCACCCCAGTATCGGATCCCAAGACTGGGCTTGGGACTCAGATCTTAAACTCTCCATTTGACTGTTTAGCATCCCAGGACTGGAGCTGGGAGACCATGACTCCAAGCAACCCAAACTGGGGCCTGGGTCTCTAAAACTGGACCCTTAGAGGCCCAATATTTGGAGATCTAGGACCCAAAGTATCCAGGTCTATCAAAGTATCAAGGATATCAAAGTATCAAGACTCCATGGCCACAAATCTGAGCTGAGACACAACAGACGGTCCCTCTACAGAGGCCTTGGGGACAGGGAAGGAATGACCAGGCACCCCCTCCAGACCCCTGACCCCCTTGGAGCTTGAGGACTCTGCTCCCTGGGGTTGCTTCCAGTTCAGGTGAGACTACTGAGAGACCCCATGATGGGGAGGGACTTGGGAGGAACTTTGTGACTGGAGGTGGAGGTAAGGATTACCAGGTTCCCCTGGACACCTTTGGAGTTTCCCCAGGAAACAGATATCCATCCCCTCACAAGGGTCTGCCTCCAGCTCCTGCTCTGCTTCAAACACTCTCTGGACATTTGGCCAGCCCTGCCCCTCTCTGACCTCCTCTTCCCCAGTTGATGGCATCTCCAGGTCTGTGACCCACTCACCACCACCCCCTCCCCCCGCCGGCTCTCCAGCGTCCTCCTACCATCTGTCTTATTTGATCATCTCCAGCTGCCTCTCCTGTCCACCATTCCGCTCTCCAGTCTCCTTTCTCTGCCTCTCCTCTCACTGACCATCTCTATTCACCTCTCCTCTCACTGATCATCTTTGACACTTCTGTCCACTGTTCTTCTTTCTGGCTACCTCTGGCCACCTCTCAGTGACCGTCTCTGTCTGCCACTTCTGTCTTTGATCATCATCTTTAACCCCCCTGTCCACAGCTTCTCTCTCCAGCCACCTCTGTCTACTGTTTCACTCAATGACCATCTTTGATATCGCTGTCCAAGGTACCGGTCTCTAATCATCTTTCAGCAGCTCTCGTGCCTGTGTCTACCCCTGACCCTAAGCCTTGACCTGTGTCTGTCTCTGACCATCTTCGACCTCTTTTTCTACCACTCTTCTCTCCAGCCACTTCCATCCATCTCTCCTCTCTGACTTCCTTTATCCACCTTTCCTCTCTCGGACCCTCTTTTACCATCTCTCTTGCCCTCCACCCACTCCGGACTCCAGCTGCCAGTCTGTGACCATCCTGGCCTTCATTGACCACCTCTCTTCTCTCTGTCTCTCTTGCTCATTGGTGTTCTCTGATCATTTCTAACATCTCTGGTGGCCTTTCCTCTCTCTGATGACTTCTCCCCACACCCATCATCCTAACCAGCTGTCCCATGTCCAGCTGTCTCTGGCATGCCTGTCCTCTCTTCCTCTCTCTGACTGCCTCTCTGCCTTTTGACCATTTTGGACCATCTTTGACCATCTCTCCTGGATCTGACCACCCCTGGCCACTTCCCCTCTCTGTCCACTTCTGATCTTCTTGACCATCTCTAACCACCTCTCTTCTCTGGTCACGTCTGGCTACTTCTAATCATTCCCACCACCCTGACCAACTCTTCCCTCTTTGGCCATCTCTGAGTGTCTCTCTTTGACCACGTCTAAAGCTCTCTGGCTTACCTTCTACCCACCCTGACTACTGATCCTGTTCTCTGACTGTCGCTAACCGTTTCTAATCACCTCCCTTCCCTCTGACCATCTTTGCACATTTCTGCTCCCTGGGTTTTCCCGGGAAACATCTCTCTGAGTCTTTGACCGTCTCCTCTGGCTTTTGATCTGTCTGACCAGTCCTCTCTCTGGCCATCTTTGACCAAGTCTTCTGCTCTGTGACCTTCTCTTCTGGTCTCAGACCACCCCAACCCCCTTTAGCCCCCCACTTCTGGCCTCAGCCCGACCTAACTCCCCCCTTCTTCCCTGCAGGCCGCCCCTGCCCGCGATGGCCGTCCTCCCTCTGCTCCTCTGCCTGCTGCCGCTGGCCCCCGCCTCGTCTCCACCCCAGCCAGCCACACCCAGCCCGTGTCCCCGCCGCTGCCGCTGCCAGACACAGTCCCTGCCCCTAAGCGTGCTGTGCCCAGGGGCAGGTCTTCTGTTCGTTCCACCCTCGCTGGACCGCCGGGCGGCCGAGCTGCGCCTGGCGGACAACTTCATCGCGACCGTGCGGCGCCGTGACCTGGCCAACATGACGGGCCTGCTGCACCTGAGCTTGTCACGCAACACCATCCGCCACGTGGCCGCCGGCGCCTTCGCTGACCTTCGCGCCCTGCGCGCTCTGCACCTGGACGGCAACCGGCTGACCTCGCTGGGTGAGGGGCAGCTGCGCGGCCTGGTCAACTTACGCCACCTCATCCTGAGCAACAACCAGCTGGCAGCCCTGGCGGCTGGGGCCCTGGACGACTGCGCCGAGACACTTGAGGACCTCGACCTCTCCTACAACAACCTCGAACAGCTGCCCTGGGAGGCGTTGGGCCGCCTGGGCAACGTCAACACGTTGGGCCTTGACCACAACCTACTGGCTTCCGTGCCCGCCGGCGCCTTTTCCCGCCTGCACAAGCTGGCGCGGCTGGACATGACCTCCAACCGCCTAACCACCATCCCACCCGACCCACTCTTCTCTCGCCTGCCGCTGCTGGCTAGGCCCCGCGGCTCCCCCGCGTCCGCCCTGGTGCTGGCCTTCGGCGGGAACCCCCTGCACTGCAACTGCGAGCTGGTGTGGCTCCGGCGGCTGGCGCGGGAGGACGACCTCGAGGCCTGCGCCTCCCCGCCGGCCCTGGGTGGCCGCTACTTCTGGGCTGTGGGTGAGGAGGAGTTTGTGTGCGAGCCCCCCGTGGTGACACACCGTTCGCCGCCCCTGGCCGTGCCTGCCGGTCGGCCAGCCGCCCTGCGCTGCCGGGCAGTGGGCGACCCCGAGCCCCGTGTGCGCTGGGTGTCACCCCAGGGCCGGCTGCTGGGCAACTCGAGCCGAGCTCGCGCCTTCCCTAACGGGACGCTGGAGCTGCTGGTCACCGAGCCGGGCGATGGCGGCATCTTTACCTGCATCGCGGCCAATGCAGCTGGCGAGGCCACGGCTGCTGTGGAGCTGACCGTGGGCCCCCCGCCGCCCCCCCAGCTAGCCAACAGCACAAGCTGTGACCCCCCGCGGGACGGGGATCCTGATGCCCTCACCCCGCCCTCTGCCGCCTCAGTCTCTGCCTCCTCCAAGGCGGCTGACGCTGGGCCCCCTACCGACCGTGGCGTCCAGGTGACTGAGCATGGGGCCACAGCTGCTCTAGTCCAGTGGCCAGATCAGCGGCCTATCCCAGGCATCCGCATGTACCAAATCCAGTACAACAGCTCAGCCGACGACATCCTCGCCTACAGGTGCAGGGTCCAGGCAGCGGGCAGGTTGGGTGGGGGAGCGAGGTGGAGGGAGGGTTGGAGGAACACCTACTGATACCCCAGGTTGCAGCACTGGAAATGAGGCTGCAAGGTTACAAAGGCAATCAGACAGCAGAGGTAAAAGAAATCAGGCAGAGAGGGTAAAAGAAATCTGGCAACAGTGGTAAAAAAGAAAGAAGGCAGCAAGAATAAATACTAATCAGGCCAGAAGAGTAAAAAGATAATTGGGGGTGAGGGGCAAAGTTGAGGGGATACAAACCAACTTAAGTAGTAAAGAGAAGCCGGGTATTTCCAGATGACAGGGCTAGACTCAAGCCAGTCTGCAGGAAGAAAAAGATCAAGCGGGAGAATACACGGATCATGGGGAAAATGCAGTGAGGCAGCCTGGCTGCAAAGGAACTCAGACCAGAGGTTAAAAGGAAAATGAGGGAGGAGGTTACATAGAGATTAGGCTTTGCGTTTGTGCGGTGTGACCTGCTCCATGTGTTTGGAGTTCCAACGTGGTGACAGCTCAACTTTTGGTTTTCTAAATCAAATTAAACCTAGTTCAAGCTCCACCTCTGGGTGAACAGGAATGTTCAGTCGACCACTGCTGGGGGCTCCCTTCTCCCTTCTCTTGTTGCAAACACAAAACTTGGGGTTTACACACTCCAAGAGGCGGGTTACATAACTTCTGCCCCCAAGCCGGAGAGCACATGGAACATCTGCTGTGGCCACATGTGGTCACTAGTGGTGGCTCTCATCCAGGTGTGCTGACACATCTCACCCAAGTCCACGCTTGCATGGATGCCTGTGGATGGCTCCCTGTTCTCACTGCCAGGCTGGACCAAGGGTACAGTCCCTGACACCTGGCTGCAGAGGACTGGGCCTCCCAAGGCCTGGGGTCTTCACCTTGTAAACCCAGTACCTGGGTTCCCTGTGCCTCCCCAGAAGCCCAAACCTCAAAAGATAGTCACTTGATTTCCTTTTCAGTCCTGGAAATCTAGCGAGCTTTTTCCACTCCCTTTCGTAGACAGCGGTACTCAGTAGATTCCATGGAGGGCCCGCACCTGAAAATCGCACAAGTCCTATCTACCTTGCCTGGCAGGGGACAGGACAAATGCTCTCCTAGATCATCACCCTCCTAGAGATAATCATGGAGTTGCCTCATTAAAGCAGTTTAAGAATAAAACAGATTATAAAACAAGTTAAATCTCCAACAGGGTGCCATGCTACAAAAGGAAATATAGTGGAATTGGGTACTAAGGATAAAAGGGAATGGGAAAGATAAGGATAAATAGAAACCAGGCTAGAGAGATAAAAGAGAATCAGGGGACAGAAGTGGAAAGAAATAAGGCAACAGAGAGAAAAAGAACTCAGCAGTGATGACTGAGGCACATCAGTTTAATGAAAATGGAGCCAGATGACAGGGCTCGCTGGAAAGCAGGCTGTGGATATGGTAATAATAACACAGCAGCGGCAGCGGGGCTTGGGGGACATTCATTGGCAGGTTAGAAGGAAATCGGGCATCAGCAGTATGGGGGAATCGGGCAGTTAGATTAGATTAGAGAGAATTCTAGGTTTAACACTAGAGGAAAGTCAGGCAGCTGGAAAAGGGAAACCAGGCACCTGCTGGAGTGAAAGTCAGAGGAGCAGAGGGAAATTAGGTGAAGGTCTAGAGGGAGACTGGGAGGTGGGATTAGAGGGAAATTGGATGGGCATGGGGGTGGGGTGGCTAGAAGGAAATGGGCATCAGGTTAGAGGGATACCAGACAGCATTAGAACAAAACTGGGTGCTGAGTTGGAGAGATGTCTGGCAGCAGGGCTGGAGGGAACTCGGTGGTGGGCTGGCGGGAAATGGGGTAGTAAACTGGAGGGACTCAGGCAGTGAGCTAGGGGAGAGTAGGGTGGGGGGACCAGCGTGAAGTCAGGCAGGAGAGTGGAGCCAAACTGGGCAGCAGAGCTAGAGGGAACTTGGGCTGCAGGCTGGTGAGAAATTGGGGGACAGTGCAGGATGGGAACCAGGCAGTGGGGTATAAAATGAAACCCCACATGGGGGGCAGTGGGGCTAGCGGGAAGCTGGGCAGCAGCGCAGAGGGGAAGCGGGCAGTGGCACTAGAGGGAATTTGGGCGTTAAGGCCACAGGGAGATCACATGGGTATTCGAGCAGCGGGAAAATGAGAGGGTGGGCTCGGGTGAAACAGGCTAACAGAACGGAGGGATATCGGGCAGCTGATGGGTATCAGACCAAAGGGAATTCCAGTAGTGGTTACAGGGAACTCAGGGGCTAGGGTGAAATGAGACAGCGGCCTGGGGGGAAATCCTCCAGCCGGGAGGGTTGGGGCAGAGTGCAGGGTGGGTGCTGGGCAGCCGGAGACCTGACTCCCACCTGTCTGTCCCTCCAGGATGATCCCAGCCGACAGCAGCTCCTTCCTGTTGACGGACCTGGCATCAGGCCGCACCTACGATCTGTGTGTGCTAGCCGTGTACGAGGACGGCGCCACGGGGCTGACAGCCACACGGCCCGTGGGCTGCCACCGCTTCTCCACTGAGCCAGCGCTGCGGCCCTGTGGGGCCCCGCATGCACCCTTCCTGGGCGGCACTATGATCATCGCACTGGGTGGTGTTATCGTGGCCTCGGTACTGGTCTTCATCTTCGTGCTGCTCATGCGCTACAAGGTGCACGGAGGCCAACCCCCGGGCAAGGCCAAGGCACCTGCGCCTGTCAGCAGCGTTTGCTCCCAGACCAATGGCGCCCTGGGCCCCACGCTGGCCCCGCCGGCTCCTGAGCTGGCCGCACCCAGGGCCCACACCGTGGTCCAGCTGGACTGTGAGCCCTGGGGGCCCAGCCACGAACCCACGGGACCCTAGCTTCGCACCCACCTCTACGGCCCTTCTGGCCCCAGGGGTAGCAGGACCCAGACACCCCGTGGGACCTGACTTCAGACTCACCAAATTGCTCACGGTTTTTAAAACTCTGATGGGGAGGGTGTCGCGGGCACCGGGGCACAACAAGAAAGTCCTATTTTTCTAAGCTTGGGCCTGGGCCCTTGCCCTTGTCTCTGTCTGTTGGGGCTGGGGGATCATTCAGGGGTCTGGAGCCGGGATGCCCCCTCTGGGGGGAGAACCACCCCCCAGTTCTGTCTGAAGTCCCTGGATGAGGCTGAGGATGGTTATCCCTTTAACCAACAGACATTCCTTGAGTGTCCTCTCTGGGCCTGCCCTGTGCTGGGTGATGCTGCAATGACTCAGGCAGCCCCCAGCCCTGCCCCTCAGACAGTGATAGCTCAGAGTTAGCAGAGTCGTGGTGAGGAGGGGAGCCTAGGAGACTGTAGGAGCCCAGAAAAGGGGCCTGTCTCAGCCCAGGGTATGGTCAGAGAGGGCTTCATGATGGAGACATGATCTAAGAATGACGTCTGAAGGAGATAAATGAGCAAAGAGCAGTGGGAGAGGTGTTCCAGGCAGAGGGACAGCCCAAGCAAGGGCTTAGGCAGTGCCAGGCACTGGGGGTGCCGTGGTAGAAGTGAGGCAGGAAGGGTGGGCAGGGTTCAGGACCTCCAGGCTGAGGAGCTCAGACTCTGGCCTGATAGTACTGGGGAGCCACGGAGGAGTCTATGCAAGGGAGGGAGAGGGTCAGGTTTGGGCTGTAGGAAGATCCTTCTAGCCATTATGAGGAGGGTGGACCAGAGGAGAAGACTGAGGTTGGGAGCCTGGGGGAAACCAGGGCAGGGACCTGGGTGGGTGAGGACAAGGCTGGACCAGGGCTGGCCTGGGGGAGGGCACTAGGGGGTGGGTGAGAGAGACATTCAAGAAGCTGAGTGGATGGGTTATGGAGCTGAAGGGCTGTGGGGGAGAGAAGTGTCCAGGGTAAGGCCCAGGGCTCTGGCCAGGGGAGAGACAGTAGAGCTGCCCTGATACAGGACTGGGGAGGAGGGGCAGGTTTGGGGAAGATGCTGAGGCCAGTGTGGGACTTGGTGGATATGGAAGGCAGCTGTGCTCACCACTGTACCACCAGTGCCTCTGGGACTTGGTGGATATGGGGGCACCCAGAGGATCAGCATGCCACCAAGGCGTGGCAGCCAGGAGGCCTTAGGACCCCTGGTCTAAGACTGGAACTGGGGACAGAAATGAGGGTTCTGTCAGCTGTGATGGGGAACTGAGGCCACCAAATTCTCCATATTTAAGGGACAGGCAAATAAAACCCTAGACTAAAAACAAAGACTAAATAGGAGCAGTAGGTGAAGGGATGGATTGAAGCAAACCAGGCAAGTCAGACCCAAGTGACTCTTGTGTTTAATGATATCAAGGCTGCGGTGACCTCAGCAAGAGCAGTATTAGGGGATCAGCTGGGCAGTTGCCAAATCCAGCTGATCTGAGAGTAGGAGGGAAGAAATTGTAGACAGGGAGTGTAGACCCTGTGATTCTCGGGGTCTAGAGCCTGGTTCAGTTGATCTGGGCCTTTCCGCCCCACGTCTCTCCAGGGCTGGTCGTCACTCAGTCTAGGTCTGCTCTAGGCTCCCCCACTCAGACACCAGGCCTGGAGGTTTGCAGGACTAAACCCTGGGCCTTGGAAATGTTGAGCCTCACTGGAGATCCAGGAATGGGATTGGCAGTAAGAGGATAGCGCTCCCTGACTTCAGGCCACCTGTAGTGTTCCAGAGGCAGAGATGTGGAGGGAACTCGGGTCCTGTCATTCTTCTCTGAAGTGATGTGTGAGGGGCATGGTGAAGAGAGCCCAAGACTGGATGGGCCATTCTCATGATCTGGCTCACCTGACTCGTCCTCGTGGGATAACATCCTAGATTCTGGCAAAGCTTTCTAGATGGGTGTAGGCCTTGGAAATGATCCTACGTAGGCCAAGGGAACAACGTTAAGTGCCAGGGACCTGATCTGACTCCTGAGTCCTCCAGCAGCACCCAGAGTCCTCCTTCTTCTTGTTGTTACCCTCGGTGGCTGAGGTCAGGTGAAGCCATCAGGGAGAGCGAGGTGTCTTGGGTAAAAGGGCCCAGGGGGTGGGAGGATGGGATGGATACCTAGCGCCCGCTACAAAATACCAGTTGCTGCCATGAGGGGGAGCCAGAGTGCGCCATGCCTCAACCCTCCTTTTAAAATCTGAACAATTTATTGCGTGCCCACTGTGTGCAACGTGCTAGGGATTCAGTACTGAACAAATACAGGCCTGTCCTGCCCTCCCATATCTCACCATTTGGTGGGGGAAACAAGGGTCAAATTAACAAGTGTAAAGCACGTATGGTGACAAGACAGGTCATGCAGGAGAGAGCCTTGGAACTGTGAGGACTTGGACCAGGGTACTTGACCCAGGAAGAAAGGTTGAAGGAGGCTTCCTGGAGGAAGTAACGCCTCTGCTGAGATGCTCAGGTTGGAGTTAACTACACAATGGGTGGAAAGGACATTCCATACAAATGGAACAGCACTGCAGGAGGCCAGGGGGCTGGAGAGGGGTGAGGATACAGGGAAGGATGCCGTGTTGAGGCTGGAGAGCCAGAAGGGGGCAGACGATGCAGGACCCTGTAGGTGGCTTGGAGGAGCCTGGGTTTTATTCTCAGTGGCACGAGAAGCCATTGGAGGGTTTTGAGCAGTGAGGAGAGTAGTGCTCCCTGATCTCAAGGAAGCTGGCAGTTCCGTTTGCATGTTCAGGACAAAGGTAAAGCACAGAGACCAGGGAGGGGGCTACAGTGATGGTCCAGGCTGAGAAGTGGCCGGATGAGTTTGGGGCCTGAAGTGGATGGATTCAGAGATTTGAAACTATCTCACCAGAGGCCTCCATCCCCTACACAGAAGGGGACAGTGTGGACCACTGCCCAGCTACCCTGTTCTCAGGCTAGATTGCAGAAACTGGAAAGAAGAGTTGTAGAGACTAGGTCTCTGATATCCAAGGACCCATTCCTTAGAAGGGGGAGCTGACTTCCCTGTAGTGCAGGAATTAAGGACCTTTTCTAGGTTCAAGTGCTAGGACTGAGGCCATGGCTGGTCGGGGGGAATGTGGACACAGGAAATGCAGGCCCAGAAGGTGGACACACACCCAGTGGTAGCTTATTACACATTCAGAAGTCGGAGGTGGGAGGAGGCCCGTGGGGGCAGGCTGGTCCCTCTAACTTGGTCCCCTTCTGCCTCCTGCACAGGATGCCTGGACCATCCCCCACCCCCAGGCAGAAACAATACAACTGTGGACAAATGGTCACGTGTCTGGAATTTAAAGTTAAAATGTAGCTTGTCCAACATTGCCTGGCTGAGTCCACCAGTTTCCTGAGCTCAGAGGGTGCTACTCTTTCCACTGTCCATCCTCCATCTGGCTTTGAGGATGCCCTGCACATTTTTGAGACCAGCTTTCCTGGGGCCAAAGCTCCAGGCTATTGGAGCATTTTCTTGAAGACACTGTAGTCCTGATACCAGGACTCTCCCTCGTCTGGGTCCTGCCAGATCCAACCCATGTGTCTGGGTGTGGCTAATCCCCCACAGGCCCTGAGTGTCTGGACATACCTGTGATCCCTTGAGAGGCCTCAGCTAATGCCAAGCCTTCACAGCTCTTTACCTGGCCACATATGTGGGAGAATCAGACAAAGGGTCCTCAGAAAGGGGATGTTTCTTTTCTAGGTTGAACTTGGGCATGGCTCCTGCCTTTGGTTCCTCCCTGATCATGCTTCACAAAAGCAAGGTTAAGTATCAAAGCTCAGTGTTGCCCTGACCTGTGCAGAGTGATGCGGGGAACAGAGTGGTGACCAACATAGCCCCAGATCCTGCCCTTATAGAGTTCAAGTCTGGTGGAGGAAGTAAACACTCACCAAACAGTGGCAGCTCAGAGTGGTCAGGGCTGGGATGGGGGAAGCACAGGCAAAAATGATTAGGGCCTGTTTAAGCCCAAGGGACTCTGGGAGCCCAGAAGGGGCTCCTAACTGAGCCTGGAATGGGAGGTGGGGAGAATGCAAGATTTCCTGAAGGCAGGGCCGGCTTCATGGCAGCATGCCCTGTGTAGTCGCCCAGTGCCCTGTGTTTAAAAGGACGCTGTGCTTGACTGATGCCCTGCTGTCACCATCATGAAATTCTTAATGATTTTTGAACAAGGGACTCCACATTTTCACTTTGCACTGGGCCCTGCACACTTGAAGGATATACAAAGAGAGCCGGGAGAAGAGAGGGTCTTCCAAAGAGAGAGAACATCGTATGCAAAAGATAGGAAGGGAAGAGAGAGGACTGTGCATTGGAGAGCTGGCCAGAGTTCCGTGTAGCTGGAGCACAGAGTGTGAGAAGCGGGGACTGTGACAGGTGAGCTTAAGAAGTGGGCGGACGCCTGCTGCCAGGCTTACGAACTGTGACTCCACGCCAGGGGCACTGGAGCCACGGGAGGGGCAGGATCTGGTTTGGACCTTAGATCTATGGTGGGGAGGGTGGGGAGGGGTACATGGCACAGAACAAGGTCAAGGTGGGAGGCTCATTTGCCTTAGAAGGGGTTGGGAGTGTCTGGCCACTGGTTAGGCTTTTGAAGCGCCTTGAATGCTTGGGTGACAGACACCCCAGTGTACCAGGAGACTGGCTGGGGAGATTCCACAGCCACAGGCTGAACCCAGAGCTTCGTTTTCACTTGAAGATTTTCACTGTTGAGGGTGGGAGGGGAGTACACAAGGGTAGGTTAAAGGGTGTCACTGGTAAGTACTTGAAAATCTTTTTATATGAGAACTCACATGCATAGACTGATGGAGGTGAATGCAAAATTGATGAGAATTTAGAGTATAAGCTGTGAGACTTCAAAGGACTTTATTCTCGGTATATTCTGGCTTCAACTCTGTGGAACCCCTGGGGTACACTTCACTCTGGATAAAACATCAGTTCTTTGCTATGGTCCCCAGGGCCTTCCTGCTTCTCCACTCGCCTCTTTCTGGGGCATCACCCCCAACACACCCCAATGCCCCAGTCTCCCCTCTCTGCTGAGGCCCTCCACATCGCTGTCCCCGGCCTTGGCCCGTCTCCTAAACCCCGAGCCTGGCTTACCTTGGCTTCCTGGACATCCCCCAGGCCTCTCACAC